CCGTCACGACACCTCTACTTAAATGTATAAATATTAACTAGTAGTCATCGGTCACACAAAACACAGTCTATGCCATACGACAACTGGATGCTGTTAGAGATCACAAGGTCTCCAAACGCTACAGTAAATTAAAACAGTTAAGTCCTAGGCAATCCCCCCACCCCCGCCCCAGCACAAGCCGTTTTTTGAAAAAAGTGCACAACTTCTCACACCTTTTCAGAGCAGCTTGCTTGGTGGGGTAGGAGTAGTTGAAGTCGCTATTGGAACTGTAGCTGCTGCTGTCCTCATCTGGGGAAATATTGAACCTTCCCATTTCGGCCTTCTTCATGTTAAGCACCGGCAGGAACGGGTGCTGAGAGCAGCGCTGGGCTCCTTTTGTCCTTGGCGGTGCACCGGGCCTCGCGGCTGCCTGCGAAGGTAGAGGCGGCGCATCAGGACCGCAGCGCCCTCCCGCCCGCCGCGGTCACGTGATGCCGCCGGGCGGCGCAGCGCGGCTGATTCATCCCCGGCCAGGCGAGTGGAAAAGTACCAGCCGAGCGCGAGGGGCGGGGGCGCGCCGAGGGGCGGAAAAGTACAGACGGCGGTGCAGAGGAGAACAAAGATGATCCCACTGGCGGCGCTGCGCCGGCCGAGGGCCCTTCTTCCGCAGATTTTAGTATTGCAACCTCTTCATTGTCCCAAGTCCGAGTGGAGCGTGTGTGTATATGTGTGAGGGTCTGTTTTGCTTCCCCTGAGTAGCTGTGGTCGTGCAAAGGCACGCAGAGCGCACATCCCGCCCAGGCGGTAGCTATGTACCTGCAACCCAAAAGCACACTCCCGGTTTCTAGCACTTGGAATGGCAATGCAGTGGTACCGGTCTTTTACCGCCTGAGGCCCCCGATGGGAAGCTGCCTCTGCGGCAGAGGGTATTCCTCCTGAAGGAGGCGGAGAGGGCTGACACTACCCCTCCTCACTGGAGAAGGGGCGAACACCGGGCCGCGAGCGCGCAGAGGGTTTGTTTACACGCGCATACCTGTGCCCTCGAGCACACCCGTACATAGACACTTGGCCCGCCAGCCCTACGCTCGGCCGGCCCCTCCTCTTCCCGGAAAGGAAACTGATGCAATATCGATCCTCAATTGTCAAACGTTCCTGGCCACTCTGCCCCAATCTTGGCCTCCTCTATAGTAAAGCCTGAACCTACCTCTGCGGTCCCCAGATTCCTTGTCTCCTCGACTTAATATTTTTATTAATGCAAATCAGTCACAAGACTTGCCGCAGCGGAGCCGCGGGACGAGGCTGGCTCCCCTCCCCCTCCAGGGCAGATGCGGCTCCGCGCCGGGCGGGCACGCTGCCCCCGCCCGGTGCTCCACCCCCGTGCACCTACCGCGGGCAGCAATGACCGTACGGCGGGACAGGGTCGAAGGCAGGATCGATCCACCGAAAACGACAGCCCCAGGAGGAAACCGCCCCCGCGCCAGCCTGGGCGCCGCGGCCCCTCCCGGGCACCCCTCCCCCACCCGTCCGGGCCCCGCGCCCAAGGCACAGACCCTGCCCTCCCAGCGCGCGGTACCTCGGGGGTCTCCGCTCCTCTGTCCGCACACCACGCAAACGTCTTCAACGGGTTTATCTCAGTCAAACAAAAATTGTACAAGACAAATTAAAACAGAACAAAAATCCAACAAAATAGGCTGAAAAAATAATCTTAATTAAAAAAAAGAAATGGTCAACTGCCGCCCCAATCCTCCGGCGTCCGCCGAGTCAAGGAAAAGGCGAGAGTATGCTGGAACGCGTGGTCAGGCTGCTGACACGGTGCGAGAAGAGCGCTCCGGGGCGGCGTCGCCAAGGCTCTGGGGCAGCGGTGCGAGCGGCGGGTTATAGCGGCACCCGGGGGACGCGTCAGTGGGCGGGGCCGCGGCCGCCGCCGCAAAGCAAAACCCCACTCCGTCCAGCTTCCCCGACAGTGTGGAAAGACCCCCGGGCTCTCCCCTCCGCCTGTTCATCTCAGCCCCGACTGGTGCCCGGCACCTGCAGTTGTCTTTGACAACCATCTCCCTCACATTTCCCTACCCCCAAGTCACCAGCAGTCCTTGCTTTGGGTGGGGGCACATCAAGGCTTCTGAGGGACACATGTCGTCCGCCAAATCCTTGCCTGTCTGTGACTTTTGTCATTTATGTTGCGTTTTTTCCCTCGCAAACTTGGACCAAGGCAGCCACGTTGTCCCGAGGGTCGGTTTCTGTTCTCGTTCTTTCTTCTCCACCTAGCTCCGCTTTCACTCTTCAAAACTGGCCGGATAGGCCGCTTGGCAGCTCCGTTTCGGGAGAGCCTTTTGGGGTGGACAAGGAAAACCCCACTAAGGGGATAGCTACGTTTTGACCGGCAAGTCAGACCCCTGGAAAGGAGCGTCGGCTGGGGAGCCCGACTATGCAGGCTGCATAAGAGTCCCCAGTCTCCCCCTGGCCGGCACATTTCACTCATTCCACAACCCCACCCTCAGCCTAGGAGCGCTCCCCTCCCGCCTCGCCTGCTTTTCCCGAGTGGACAAAGACGCCGCCTTCGGTGGAATGCGGGTCTGAGGTGCTATCCCCGAGCCTGGTGCTCTGCTTCCGTGGTGATGTGGTCTTGCTGAGCCAGGCAACTAGGGGGCCCTTACGCCCTGGAACGCTTGGTGCCACCGAAAAGGCAAGAGACCTTCTCTTGCTGGAAACAAAGACCTGTTAGGACAGAGTGTTGAACGAATGAATGAATAGACCGCGGAGTTTGACCTACTGTTCGCTTCCTTTCAGGGACGTGGGAGAGACTGGGCAGGGCACAGAGGAAAGGGTTGGGTGTGATCACAATTTTTGCTTTCAATGTTTTCCTGAGGAAATCTGTACAACTGCCTGTTTCCGTGGCACGTGAGGCTCCGGTGCCCTTGGTCTGCACCAGTGTCCATGATTGACAGGGGAGGACCTGATTTTCCCTTTATGCTCCGGTGTTCCCCACCCCAAACCTTCTACTCCGGTCAGACCAGTCTTGTTTAAACAATAGACTTTCAAGCTTTGGTGCCCAAACCCCCTTCACCCCTCTCAAATGCCACCATCACTCAAGGCTTAGTCACAACGCCTCAGGAAAGCCTCACTCCACCTACTTCAATCTCTCCCATCTCAAACCTCTTTTAGCAATTGTTTTCTAAACCATGTGGTGCAGGACTTTTAAAAACCTGTGCTGTCTTGTACTCAAAATTGTTCAAGTCTGTTTGCAGTCCTGTCTCCCCAAGGAAATTGTGAAGTCTCCAAGGGTGGTTTGAAATTTGACACACAATCAAGGCTGAAAAATCTTGTCTCTTTTCCTGTGCATTCCCCAGTAACACCAATTAACTCTTCCAGTCAGAAGAACAGCCTTAGTGGTGAGTGAAAGAGGAGTCCTGGGAAGTTTCTTTATAGGGGGTTTCAACTGATGAGAACCAAAAGGTCTTAAACCACTTTTTCATTCCAAGTGAATCTCTAGTCATTCTTCTGCCCAGTAAGAGGTGCAAAGGAAGCCCCGAGGTTGTGGTTGTGGCTAGCAAGTCACACTCACAATTGGACCTCTTGTCCTTTGGACTTTTGGGTGATTTTTACTGCAACACACATTTAGGAGAAGCATAATACGGATAAAATTGAGTGCAAGTTGTGTGTGTTGGAAGTTGTAATAGTGATCTGATCTCTGTATGATCAGACCCTGAGCAGCACAAGGGGTCTTCAAAATGTTGATGGAAATGCACATTATGAAAAAAAAACTATACATGGATTTACAATTTTTTGCACTAAAAGAAACTCATACTTTAATTTCATTGCCCTTCCTTCCTTCCTTCCTTCCTTCCTTCCTTCCTTCCTCTTCTTTCTCTTCCTCCCTTCTTTCCTTTCTTCCCTCCCTCCCTCCCTTTCTCTTTCTCTCCTTTTCTTTCTCTTTCTCTCTTTCTTTTTCTTCTCTTTTAATACCAGAGAGTACATGTGTTGGTACATGTGTGTGAAAGCTAAAGCATCCCCCAACAGGACTTGATCACTTGATCACAGCTTCAGTTCTTTTTCCTTTAGTTCTTCATCTCTTAAGGATCCTGGGCATAGAACTCCCTACCCACCTACCTTCCCCTCTGCTGGGACCCTAATCCTGGTCACACATGAGGGATCTAGCTTCCTCTGTGCAACACTTAGCTACTTTGTAGGCCAGCCTAATTTCATTTTTCCATGAACTTTTAAAGTCCCCTCTTAAAAAACAAGAAGAAGGAGAAAAACGGAAAGGAATGAAACTTAAGTTTTCCTTTTTGCCAGTTTGATATATCTTTTTTTAAAAAAAACATGATTATTTATTTAATTTTATTTATAATTATCATCATTATTTAATTTGTTACAGGGCATGCAAGCTCCCCAGAGAGAAACAGAGAAAGAGGGAAAGTGAAAAAGCAAGCTGCAAGGTCCAGGACTCTAACCATAGTCTGCCATACAGGAGCCCAGCACTGCAAAGGCCAGTTTCAGGCATATCTACTAACTCAAGTGGCTTCTAATTGAGACCTGTTGTACTCTGAGTTTCTGCTGTTACGCTTTGCACTAAAATGCATGGGACACAATGCTCCAACCTAATTTATGACAAACTATATCATCAAATGCTTGTTAGTCAGAACGCTATGACTTTTGTTTGATTTCTAAGTTAATATTCTAGAAGAGCTGCATATTTTGAGCTATAGAATAGGACCAAGTTGTGGATAGTGACTAATTCAGTGGATCACTACTAACATTTTTTAAAATTGCAATAGAAAAGAATATAATAAGAAAATTAGTGTGTAATATATTAATTCTAAGTATTAGTGCTTTATTTTCATTATGTATAAATATGTGTGTATTCTGAGTTGAGATATAAAATATATTTTTTGTTGTGGATTGGGAGGGTGGTTAAAGAATTTTTAAAGCTACTGGGACCAGCAGTTAGCGGAATGGCTATGTCGCTGGACCCATGTAGTAGACCCCGGTTTGCGTCCCGGACCTGGTGGCTTAGAACTCATGCCGGTGTGTGTGCCCAAGATCCTGAGAGGAGAAAGGAGGAAAAGGGATTACGGCGTGACCATCCCCCTTGGGGGATGATTTCTTACTTTCTGTCTCTCTGTCTCTGTCTGTCTGGCGAGCGCACGCGCCCTATAGCAAAAACCTCTCCCCAAAAAAAGAATTTTTAAAGCTACTGAAAATGTACCTTATATCCTATCCTAAGAAAAACAGTCATAATTATTAGCTGTCAATTCAGGAATGTTTCTGTATTGTCAAGGAAGATTGTTAGAAGTTTTTAGTGACAGTAGTGATCTATCTTCTGTAGAATTATTTGACTGGTGATTCCTGATCAAATAGAGTGGTTTTCTTTCCAAAGGATGTAACTAGTAAACCTTCCCAACTTTATTAAACAGAGTCTTTAAGGTGGCCTTCACAATTCTGTTTATCCAGCACTTCCATTTGCCTACAATTAATTAAACATTAAGTTTACTTCTCTCTACTCTCCATTCCCAACTGAATAGTTTCATTCTCAGGTTGGGTTCCATGGTTTTCTTTGATCTGTCTCAGCATACATTTCCAAACTTAACTCCAATTCCTTGTAGTAGGCAGCTTCTAAGATCCCTCCAAATAATTTCTACTTTCTGCTATTCATTCCTATTTGTAGTTCCCTCTCCTTGAATACAGACTGGACCTAGTGATGTACTTCTTTGGCAGAACTGATGGCATGGCATGTCTGAAATGAGGTGAAATTAGGTTACAAATGGACTATGACTTCCACCTTGCTATTTGTTGGTCTCTCCCTCCTTTGTTTTGAGGGAAACCCACTGCCATCTTGTGAACTGTCCTGTGGAGAGGCATGCATGAGATCTGTTGCCAAATGTCTCTGACAATTAGAGACCCTGAGACCTACCAAGAATCATGGAAGCAGACTGAACCTTGAGGTGACCTCAGCCCCAGCAAGAGAACTGAGCTAAGTTCAGTCCAGATTCCTGACCCAAGAGAAATAATTGATAATAAGTATTTATTGCTTTAGACTACAAGTTTTGGTCTAGTTTATCACTCATCAATAGATGATTAGTTATATACATTTCTCTCATATATCCTCTGTTTTTTCCAAATGTATTGCTCAGTGTTCTCAATATAAATTATTTTCTATTTAAATCATTCTCAGTGCTTGGAATGTTCTTTATGCCTCTTCTTCCCCACCATTCCAGGAAATTTTATGTTTCCTTTGAGGACCAGCTTCAGTACCATAGCTTTCATGAACTCTTCTTTATTTGATGATTCCACTTAAAACAAATCTCATTCTATTTTCAACTTAATGCTGTGACATTGCTTTTTGTGAGTATATACTAGATTTTCTATTAGTGTCTTTTTGGGGTAGACTCTGGCTAATCACACCCAGCCTGGTCACTTAAAAATAAAGTACTTTTTGAGTACAGATACTCCTCAATTTATAGTGGGGTTACATTCCAATAAACCCATAATAGGTTGAAAGTACTATAAATAAAAAAATGCATTTAATACACTTAGCCCATCAAATATGATAGCTTAACCTATCTTACCTTAAATGTGTTCAGAACACTTACATTAGCCTATAGTAGGGCAAAATCAGCTAACACAAAGTCTATTTTATATTAAAGCATTGAATATCTCATAAATCTCATTGAATATTATACTGAAAGTGAAAAACAGGATAGCTTGCTGCGCTGCCCAGCATCTTAAGAAAGTATCTTCAAAAAACAAAAAGAGAAAGAAAGTATCTTCTTCATATTGCTAGTCCAGGAAAAGATCAATATTCAAAGTTCAAAATATGGTTTCTACTGAATGTATATCACTTTTACACTATTGCATAGTTGAAAAATCATT